CTGCCCGAGAGGGGGTTGGGGGAAGTGGGGCTGGCCTGAGGCACAGCAAGGGGAGCAGGGGGGAGGAATGAATCAGCCTGCAGGGGGTGGGACTGACCCGACCCGTTCCCCTCTCTACCCCTCCCCCACAAAGCACGAGTTAATCCGGCACAGGGATTCTACTGTCCCTCCGTTTCCCCCTCTCCCCCCCCACACACACATCTCTTCCCCCCCCCCCACAAACCCCTCGAGTAGTTGCGAACTATCTGGCTGGTAGACACACTCATGCAGCCTGAGCACATTTACCAGCCAGGCAGTTTGAAACTACAAACTGATACATCTAGTAATAATAAAACTTACCTAATGAGAAAATACCAGACATGTTATATGTCTGGTATTTTCTTCGTTTGTTTTTCATGTGTTTATGTTTTTGGGCTGCAAAAAGCAGAACTGAAAAAAAAGGGTTCCAATTAAAGTAAAAAGTTTGGGAAACCCTGGTCTAACCAGCTTTCTGTCTGTCTTACAGCCCATTTATCCAATCCATATTCCTTAACTTGCTGGCAAGAATATTGTGGGTGACCATATCAAAAGCTTTGCTAAAGCTGGCACTGGGAGATTTGAGAGGACCAGAAACAATGTATTTAAATATTCATAATTTGATTAATGAATATGCAAATATGCAAATGAACATTACTGGTCCTCCAAAAGTTCGTGAATGGATTTACTGGTCCCCGTGTCAAAAAGTTTGGGAACCCCTGGTCTAGACTACATGGCTCCGTCGACAGAGCCATGTAAACTAGTTTACCCGGCATAGGCAAAGAAGCGAGGATTTAAATAATCCCCGCTTCATTAAAATAAACATGGCCGCCGCGCTCTGCTGACGATCAGCTGATTAGGCTGCTCGGCTGCTACTGAATTTTAAATTGGGGTTTCGTCCTGGTGTGAGCCGAGACCGAGCTGGGCTGCTTGGACCCATCTGTAGACAGGGGGTGCTGCTAGTTCAACTTTGGGTGGGCTACACTTCACTGCTCTTCTCCAGTGTCTTAAATAAAAGCCCCACTCCCATAGAAAGTAATTGGAGACCCAGAGTTCAGCCTGTAATTAATTTCAGCAAGGATGGCCCAGTGTCAGCCTCCCCGCATTCAAGTTCCCAAAGAAACTAAAGAAATGAATTTAATTAAATAACTTCATAAAATCTTATGACGAGACAAACACTGATCTAATGCTTACAACAGAGCACAGCTATTTCATAACCCACAGGGGTTGCCCCCAGTGGCAGTGAACACAAGTGAAGGGAAAACTGAAGGTAACGTTTGAACAGCTCAGTCCACACACACAGCGTGCGAGACAAACTGAGCCTGGCCTGCCCTCCAACATGGAACGGTGAAGTGAGCCCACCCTAGCTAGCTGTGGGCGGACACTGATTGGCCAAGAGCAGCAGACGGACAAGCAGTCTCAGCCTATGGGGCGTCAAGTAGTG